GAGAATTATATCATCCAGTTCTGTTGCAAAGACATGAAAACCATTGCACTGAGGATTTTGACTTCCGGGAAGCTTGGGGAAATATGTATGAATTTAAGAGTAAGTGTGGATATGAAGAAGGAAATTCCAAAGGAATTCTCACAACTGATAACATAAATCTTAGTGGTAGAAAAGATCATCAGAACAGCAAATCCTGGATTAATTTACCTTTAAAGCAGAGTGTTTCTGTAAAAAAAACTACAACTCAATATTATAAGCATGGGAAGTCATTTTTAAGAAATCTGTTAAAAATAAAAAACAACATAGTCTGTGCAGGAAACAGGTATATGAAATGTTTTGAAAATACGATTGGATTAAGCTTTCAGTCACATTTGCAGAGATTTCAAAATGAAGAGAAAATTTATAAATATAATCAAGTTGAGCAGTTTATTAAAAATTGTTCCTCAGTTTCACCACTTAAAAGATTTCCTCCTAGTGTCAAAACCAACATTTGTCATAAATATGAGATTTTTGTGAATACTTCATTGTTTACTCAGCAGCAGAAAATACACAGAGAAAAACCGTATAAATGTAATAAACGTGGGAAGACGTTCAGCCAATATTCAGTTCTCATGAGTCATCGGAGAATTCATTCTGAACAGAGACCTTACAAATGTAACGAGTGTGGTAAAGCTTTTAAGCAGTTCTCAAACCTAACAAGACATCAAAGAATCCATACTGGAGAGAAACCATATAAATGTAATATGTGTGGCAAGGACTTTAATCAAAATTCTCACCTTGTAAATCATTGGAGAATTCATACTGGAGAGAAACTCCACAAATGTAATGAATGTGGTAAGGCTTTCATCAAATGTTCAGACCTTTGGCGTCATGAGAGAATACATACTGGAGAGAAACCTTACAAATGTAATGAATGTGGTAAGGGTTTTACCAAATGCTCACATCTGTGGGATCATGAGAGAATTCATACTGGAGAGAAACCATACAAATGTATTGAATGTGGCAAGGTCTTTAGGCAGTGGTCTACCCTCAGGATTCACCGAAGGATTCATACAGGGGAGAAACCTTATAAATGTAAAGAATGTGGCAAAGCCTTTAAGCAGTGCTCACACCTTACCAAGCATCAGAATGTACACCCTGGAGAGAAACCATGCAGGTGTAATGTGTGTGGCAAGGCTTTTATTCACATCACAAGCCTTATGAAACATCAGAGAATTCATACTGGAGAAAAACCACACAAATGTAGTGAATGTGATAAGGGTTTTATCCGAAGTTCAAGTCTTGTGGAACATCAGAGAATCCATACTGGTGAGAAACCTCATAAATGTAACGAGTGTGGCAAAGCCTTTACTGTGCGTTCAAGCCTAACTAAACATAAGAGAAACCATACTGGAGAGAAACCTTATAAATGTAATGAGTGTGGTAAAGCCTTTGCACAACTTGTACATCTTACTAGACACCAGAAAACACATACTGAAAAGAAACATGATGAATCTGGTACACGTGATAATCGTTTTATTCAAAGCTCAAGCCTGGGGGATCATCAGAAAATTCATGATAGAGGGAAACCTTACAAATGTAATGAATGTGGCAAATCCTTTAACTGGTGTTCGCGCCTTACTCGACATCAGCGAATCCATACTGGAGAGAAACCATATAAATGTAATGTATGTGGCAAGGCCTTTAGCCAAAATTCAAATCTTACAATTCATCAGAGAATTCATACTGGAGAGAAACCTTACAAATGTAATGAATGTGGCAAGG